ATTATCTAACTCAGCTTTCTCCCATATCCTTTGATTGATTTAATCTCAAGAACTACATCAAATTCTTTCTAAAATAACATTTAAAGTTTTGGTTCTGGTTCTGAAGAAAGGTCACAGGACGAAGGAGCGAGGCTTCGAAAGCTTGTGATTTTAAATAAATCTGTTGGACTATAACCTGCTGTTGTGTGATTTCTGACTTTGTCCACCTCAGTTCAACACCAGCATCTCCACATCATGGACTTGAAATGTTAACCCTGCTTTCTCCCCACAGATGTTGCCAGACCTGCTGAGTTTTTCCAGCTTTCTGTGGAAAAGAATTCAATACTCTCTCACTTTTCCTCATCTCAGTCCTACCCCCATCCTTAAACTGTGATTTCTGGTTCTAGACTCTACTGTCATTGGGAATATCCTTCCTGCATTTACCCTGTCTAGTCATTTCGGAATTATATAGATTCCTATGAGATTCCCCCCCTCACTCTTTAAATCCAATGAATATTGTCCTACCCAATCCAGCTCCTCTTCCCATATCAGTTCTGTCATCCTGGGAATAAGTCTGGTACAAAAGAAAACAAAACTGAGGATTTTGATGATCTGAAACCTTACAGCCTGGTAAATGTTTGTTGCACTCCCTCCATAGCCAGAACATCCTTCCTCAGATAAGGAGACCAAAACTGCACACTATACTCCAGGTGTGGTCTCACCAAAGCTCTGCATAATTTCAGCAAGACATATCTGCTTTTGTACTTGAATCCTCTCACTATGAAGACCATCATAACATTTACCTTCTCATCTCCTACTGCATCTGCATACTTACTTTCAGTGACTGGTGTACCAGGTCACTTCCACCTCCACATTCCTAATTTACCATCATTCAGATTATAATCTGCCTTCCTGTTTTTGCTACCAAAGAACATAATCTACATCGATCCACATTATGCTTTATCAGCCATGCAATTGGTCACTCACTCAATTTGTCCAAACCACACTGAAGCATCTCTGCAACTTCCTCACAGTTCATCCAGTCTGTGTTATTTGCAAAATTGGAGATATTACCTTTAGTTCCCTCATCTAAATCATTAATATATATTATGAATAGCTGGGGTCCTAGCACTGGTCCCTGTGATACCTTACCAGTCACTGCCTGCCATTTGGAAAAAGACCCATTTATTCCTACACTTTATTTCCGGTCTGCCACCAGTTCTCTGTCTATGTCAATAACACTACCCCAATCCCAAGGCTTTTACCTCGAATGAAAAACAGAATGAAGAGGAAGTTCAGACAGCGTGCGTCGCAGAGAGAGTGAACAAGGAAGGGCACAAATGAGAGAGAAAGTGTAACCGAGACAGAGTAGGTTCATGAAAAAGAGTACAAGGCAGAGAGACCAAGTATACAACTGTAACTTATGAAAGGTTGAGATAGAGGAGTGACAATCAATCAGAGGGGGAGAGTGAAGTGCAGGTGAGGAGGCAAGGGAGAAAGGCATGAAGGTAAGAGAGAGAAGGCCTGGGCACAGCAGCAAGCATGAGGTTGTCAACAGAACAAAGGTAAAATCAAAAAGATGGCAAATGAGAGAAGGGCAGGATGAGCGGGCAGGCCGAAAAGCACATCGAGGATACGGCAGAGAGGGTGCAGAGTTGTACATAGAGGGTGCAGAGTTGTACATAGAGTATTGGTGATGGACAGAGTGTGGTGTTAAAGCTGGGAAGGGTAGGCAATAGCCTAGTGGTATTATCGCTACACTATTAATCCAGAAACCCAGCTAATGTTCTGGGGATCCAGGTTTGAATCCAACCATAGCAGATGGTGGAATTTGAATTCAAGAAATTCCACAAATATCCCCATCCTCAATGATGGAAGAGCCCAGCACATTAGTATAAAAGATAAGGTTGAAGTGTTCACAGCAATCTTCAGCCAGAAGTGCCAAGTGGATGACCCATCTTGGCCTCCTCCAGTGGTCCCCAGCATTACAGACACTAGTCTTCAGACAATTCGATTCACTCCACGTGATATCAAGAAATAGTTGGAGACACTGGACACTGCAAAGGCTACGGGCCCTGACAACATTCCAGCAATAGTACAGAAAACTTGTGCTCCAGAACTTGCCGCTCCCCGTAGCCAAGCTGTTCCAGTACAGTTACAACACTGGCATCTACCTAGCAATGTGGAAAATTGCCTAATTATGTCCTGTACACAAAAAGCAGGACAAATCCAACCCGGCCGATTAACGCCCCATCAGTCTCCTCTCGATCATCAGGAAAGTGATGGAAGGTGTCAGTAACAGTGCTATCAAGCAGCACCTGCTCAGCAATAACCTGCTCAGTGACGCCCAGTTTGGGCTCCACCAGGGCCACTCAGCTCCCGACCTCATTACAGCCTTAGTTCAAACATGGACAAAAGAGCTGAATTCCAGAGGTGAGGTGAGAGTTACAGCCCTTGACATCAAGGCTGCATTCAACCAAGTGTGGCATCTAAGAACCCGAACAAAACTGGAATCAATGGGTATCGGGGGCAAACGGTCCGGTGGTTGGAGTCATATCTGACACATAGGAAGATGGTCATGGTTGTTGGAGGTTGATCATCTCAGGTACAGGATATCTCTGCAGGAATTCCTCAGGGTAGTGTCCTCAGCCCAACCATCTTCAGCTGCTTCATCAATGATCTTCCCTCCATCATAAGGTCAGAAGTGGGGTTGTTCGCCGATGATTGCACAATATTCAGCACCATTCGCAACTCCTCAGATACTGAAGCAGTCTATGTTCAAATGCAACAAGATCTGGACAATATCCAGGCTTGGGCCGACAAGTGGCAAGTAACATTCGCGCCACACGAATGTCAGGCTATGACTGTCACCAATAAGAGACAATCTAGCCACCGCCCCTTGACATTCAACAGTGTTACCATCATCAAATTCCCCACTATCAACATCCTGGGTGTTATCATTGACCAGAAACTCAACTGGATTGATCACATAAACACAGTGGCTACAAGAGCAGGCCAGAAGCTGGGAATACATAAGAACATAGGAACTAGGAGCAGGAGTAGGAGTAGGCCATCTGGCCCCTCGAGCCTGAACCGCCATTTAATAAGATCATGGCTGATCTTTGAAACTCAGCTCCACTAACCCGCCCACTCACCATAACCCTTAATTCCTTTACTGTTCAAAAATTTATCTAGCCTTGCCTTAAAAACATTCAGCAAGGTAGCTTCAACTGCTTCACTGGGCAGGGAATTCCACAGATTCACAACCCTTTGGGTGAAGAAGTTCCTCCTGACCTCAGTCCTACATCTGCTTCCCTTTATTTTGAGGCTATGCCCCCTAGTCCTAGTTTCACCTGCTAGCGGAAACAAATCTCCCTGCCTCCACCTTATCTATTCCCTTCATAATCTTATATGTTTCTATAAGATCTCCCCTCATTCTTCTGAATTCCAATGAGTATAATCCCAGTCTACTCAGTCTCTCCTCATAATCCAACCCTCTCAACTCTGGAATCAAACGAGTGAATCTCCTCTGCACCCCCTTCCAGTGCTAGTATATCTCTTCTCAAGTAAGGAGACCAAAACTGCACACAGTACTCCAGGTGTGGCCTCACCAGGACTCTATACAGCTGCAGCATAGCCTCCCTGTTTTTAAACTCCATCTCTCTAGCAATGACAGATAAAATTCCATTTGCCTTTTTAATTACCTGCTGCACCTGCAATCCCACCTTCAGCAATTCATGCACAAGGACACCCAAGTCCCTCTGCACAGCAGCGTGCTGCAATTTTTTACCGTTTAAAACATAGCCCATTTTGCTGTTATTTCTACCAAAATGGATGATCTCACACTTATCAACATTGTACTCCATCTGCCAAACCTTTGCCCACTCACTTCGACTATCTATATCCCTCTGCAGACATTCAGTGTCTTCTGCCCACTTTGCTCTACCACTCATCTTAGTGTCATCTGCAAATTTTGACACACCACACCTAGTCCCCAACTCCAACTCACCTACGTAAATTGTAAACAATTGCGGTCCTAACACCAATCCCTGAGGCACACCACTAGCCACTGACCGCCAACCAGAAAAACACCCATTTACCCCTACTCTTTGCTTTCTACTCGTCAACTAATCCTCTATCCATGCCAATACATTACCTGCAATACCGTGCAACATTATCTTATGCAGCAGCCTTTGGTGTGGCACCTTGTCAAATGCCTTCTCGAAATCCAGATACACCACATCCACAGGTTCCCCACTGTCCACCATGCAAGTAATGTCCTCAAAGAATTCCACCAAATTAGTTAAACATGAACCCATGCTGGATGTTCCCAATGGGATATTTATATCCAGATGTCTTGCTATTTCTTCCTTAAAAAGATTCAAGCATTTTCCCCACTACCGAAGTTAAGCTAACTGGCTTTTCTGATGAAGGGTCTAGGCCCGAAACGTCAGCCTCTCTGCTCCTATGATGCTGCTTGGCCTGCTGTGTTCATCCAGCCCTGCACCTTGTTGTCTCGGATTCTCCAGCATCTGCAGTTCCTACTATCTCTGGCCTATAGTTACCTGCTTTTTGTCTACTTCCTTTTTTAAACAGTGGCGTCACATTGGCTGTTTTCCAATCTGCAGGAACCACCCCAGAGTCCAGTGAATTTTGGTAAATAATTACTAGCGCATTTGTTATTTCCCCCATCACCTCTTTTAGTACCCTGGGATGCATTTCATCAGGGCCAGGAGACTCGTCTACCTTTAGCCCCATTAGCTTGCCCAGCACTGCCTCCTTAGTCATAATGATAGTTTCTAGGTCCTCCCCTGCTATAACCTTCTTGCCATTAGTTTTCAGTATGTTATTTGTGTCTTCCACTGTGAAGACCGACACGAAACAACTGTTTAATGTCTCGGCTGTTTCCTTATTCCCAGCTATTAAATTGGCCTTCTCATCCTCTAAAGGACCAATGTTTACCTTCGCCACTCTTTTACGATTTACATAGTTATAGAAACTTTTGCTGCCTGTCTTTATATTCTGAGCTTGTTTATTCTCATAATCTATCTTACTTTTCTTTATAACTTTTTTTGTGGCTTTCTGTTGGCCTCTAAAGATTTCCCAGTCTACTAGTTTCCCACTACTCTTTGCTTTTTTGTATGTGTTTTTTTTCCAATCTGATACTTTCCTTTATTTCCTTAGACATCCATGGCTGGCTCTCTCTTTTCCTACAGTTCTTCCTTATCACTGGAATATACTTCTGCTCAGCACTGTGAAAAATCGTTTTCAAAGTCCTCCACTGTTCCTCAATTGACCCACCATAAAGTTTTTGCTCCCATTCTACCTTAGCTAACTCCTCCCTCATTCCTTCATTGTCTCCTTTGTTTAAGCACAGGACATAAGTACTGGATTTAACCTTCTCACACTCCATCCGTAGTTTAAATTCAACCATACTGTGATCGCTCCTTCCGAGAGGATCCCTAACTGTGAGATCATTAATTATTCCTGTCTCATTACACAGGACTAGATCTAGGATAGCTTGCTCCCTCGTAGGTTCCATTACATATTGTTCAAGGAAATTATCACGGATGCATTCTACGAACCCCTCCTCCTCAAGGCTGCCATGACCGACCTGGTTTGACCAATCGATATGTAGATTAAAATCCCTTATGATAATTGCTGTACCATTTTTACATGCATTAGCTATTTCTATGTTTATTGCCCGCCCCAACACGATGTCATTATTTAGTGGCCTATAGACCACACCTATCAGTGACTTCTTCTCCCTGCTATTCCTAATTTCCACCCAAATGGATTCAACGTTTTGTTCAGTAGAACCTATATCATCTCTCACTACCGCCCTGATATCATCCTTAAAAGTCAGAGCAACACCATCTCCCTTACCTTCCTGTCTGTCCTTCCGAACAGCTTGATACCCCTGGATATTTAACTCCCAGTCATGACCATCCTGTAACCATGTCTCTGTAATGGCCACTAAATCATACCCATTTGCCATGATTTGCACCGTCAACTCATCCACCTTGTTTCGAATGCTCCGAGCATTCAGATAAAGTGCCCTTATGCCAGTTTTTGCACCTTCTTTTTGGGTCCTATTACCTCCATTACTTACAGCTCTCGAGTTCTCCTTCCCTTTAACTTTTTTCCTAATTTTCAATGGAGTTGAAGCTTCCTCGTCACCTAACCTGCTGCTTTGCCTTAGATTAATTGTTATTCTCCCTCTACGCTCACTTCTCCCTTCCCCCCTACTTACTAGTTTAAAGTCCTATCAACCATCCTATTTACCCTTTTCGCCAGAACACTGGACCCAGCCCTGTTCAGGTGGAGTCCATCCCAGCGGTAGATCCCTCCTGTTCCAGAACTGATGCCAGTGCCCCATGAAAAGGAAACCCTCTTTCCCACACCACTCTTTTAGCCACATGTTTACTTCCCTGATCCTCGCCTCCCTATGCCAATTTGCACGTGGCTCAGGCAGCAATCCAGAGATTATGACCCTTGAAGACCTGTTTTTTAATTTTGTTCCTAGCTTTTCATAATCCCGAAACAGGTCTTTTTTGCCTAGTCCTGCCTATGTTGTTGATACTTACGTGGACCACAACAACTAGATCCTCCCCCTCCCTCTCTAGTATCCTCTCAAGCCAGTCAGAGATGTCTCGCACCCTGGCACCAGGCAGGCAACACACCATGAGGGGTTCTCTATCCTGCTCACAAAGGATACTGTCTATCCCCCTGATGATGGAATCCCCTACAACTACAATCTGTCTTTTTGCTCCCCTCTCTTGAATGGCCTCCTGGACCATGGTGCCATGGTCAGTTGACTCATCCTTCCTGCAGCCCTGTTCCTCTTCCACGCGGGGAACAAGTGCCTCATACCTGTGGGACAATGTCAAGGGCTGCGGCTCCTGCGTTCCTGTCTGCGGGTTCCCTCTACCTGCCTCACTCGCAGTCACACACTGCTGCCCCTGCCTGCCACTGTGGCAAGTAACTCACTTCCTGACTCCTCAAAGCCTATCCACCATCTACAAGACACAAGTCAGGAGTGTGATGGAATACTCCCCACTTGCCTGGATGAGTGCAGCCCCAACAACACTCAAGGAACTTGATAGGCACTTCATCCACAGACATCCACTCCCTCCACCACCAACGTTCAGTAGCAGCAGTGTGTACTATCTACAAGATGCACTGTAGAAATTCACCAAAGATCCTCAGACAGCACCTTCCAAACCCATGACCACTTCCATCTAGTGGGGGAGCAGACATATGTGAACACCACCACCTTCAACTTCCCCTCCAAACCACTCACCATCCTGGCTTGGAAATGTATCGCTGTTCATTCATTATTGCTGTGTTAAAATCCTGGAATTCTCCCTAATGGCATTGTGGGTCAACCTACAGCAGGTGGACTGCAGCAGTTCAAGAAGGCAGTTCACCACCACTTTCTCAAGGGCAACTAGGGATGGGCAAGAAATGCTGGCCAGCCAGCAACACCCACAGCCTACAAATGAATACGAAAAAAAAGCTACAAAAGATGTGCACAAGGTGAAGAATGCAGAGGGAGAACACAGGGCAAAGTGAGATGGTGGGTGAATGTGATTAAGCAAGATGCAAGAGAGAAAGAGAGAAAGAGAGTGGGATAAAGAGCAAGACCAAAAGCAACAGAAAGAGGAAGGTGTAAGTGAGAGAGGCGCACCTAAGAGAGACAGAGAACAAGTAAACAGGGAAAAAGCAGGTAAGGCACAGCTGGGACTCAAACACCTCCAACACATTTCAGTGGACACCAATGTATCGTTTCGTTTCTCCAACCATTCACATTACCAATGATGATAGTGTGCAGCAGTAAAGGAAATGCCGTAAGTTGGCGGAAATGCCATTAATTAGCAACAAACAATAAACATGTTCTGCAGTAGAAAGCAGATTCACTTCATCCTGGATAATTAAGGTACTCACCATCTGTGCAGCAACTCCCCCCACGATTCCAGAATTTTCTCCGGGCAGTCCTTGGAAACGTCCCCAGTGCCACTCGACAGTTCATTATCACTTTCTGTAAGACAGTAGAAAGAGAAAGAGACCATGCTCAGCATTGGACAGAGTGAAGACATTGAAACCAAAGAGCAATGAGCTCACAGGAGACACCGGGAGCAATGATTTCAAGACCACGGTTTCATACGTGTTGTTGCTGTACATAGTAATTTATTAGATAAACGTTCTTCAAGAAACGCTTCCTTTAAATGATCCTGGGGCGAGTGGAACTGTCCACACCTCTGGGTCAGAAGATTTGAGTTCAGCTCTGCCCTCAGGATGTGAGATGGCCATGGAAGTGTGTCATAACACACCCAAACAGATTGAATGCGGGAAAATGACTCTTCCAATAGGAGCAGTTTTAATCCTGCACGACTGCGACAAATTGAGTGAGCAGTTCAAAATGGCTGACTCTCAGGGCCAGCCATTCACTCACTTCTACCTTGTTGCATAAGCAGAAAGCAAACCCAACCAAATTCATAAGTGAAGTCCCCGAATGAGAAATTTCTGTATTTTGTTTTCAACTTTCCCCAGAGGTCAAGGAGAAGGAATGCTTGGACTAGATACCACAAGGAAAACTTGGCCTGGCCTTGCACCAAACTACTTGCTAACAAGCATTCCAACCTCTCCTCCAAATCTTCCTCCAATGATAGATGGTGGTGCTTAAACTCCAAAAATAACCACCTATCACACAGCTTCACTTTTACAGGAATCATAGAATGCCTAAAGTGTGGAAGCAGGCCATTTGGCCCATTGTGTGCACACTGACATCCCGAAGAGCATCCCACACAGACCCATACCCCTACCCTATAACCCTACATTTCCCACGGCCAATCCACCTAGCCTGCACGTCCCTGGGCACTACGGGAAATTTTAGCACGGCCAATCCACCTAATCTGCACAATCTTCGGACTGTGGGAGGAAACCCATGCAGAAACGGGGAGAATGTGTGAACTCCACCCAGACTGTCGCCCGAGGCTGGAATCAAACCTGTGTCCCTGGCGCTGTGAGGCAGCAGTGCTAACCACTGAGCCACCGTGTCACCGTGTCACCGTGAAAAGATTGGGAAGAGGTAAAATAACAGACAAAAAGAAAATTGCTGGAAAAGCTCAGCAGGTCTGGCAGCAACTGTGAAGGCAAAAACAGAGTTAACGCTTCGGGTCCGGTGACCCTTCCTCAGAACCAGAGGCAAAATAAATTGGCTGTAACCTTCCAAAATCTTGTGTCCTTATTTGGAAAAGGAGAAAGACTGAAAGCACTGTAGATATTTCATATGGAAATATAATCCAAAGCTGGAAGGGTATGTGCAACTCTGTGGTGTTGTTTTGCTGAAATTAGCATCAGATAACATTGGAAAAGAAACGGTTACAGGATTTGGATTTGTTACAAGTGACAGCTTGTTACAGAATTGAGAGAACGGATAGTCGGGTCTTAAGCCTTCACAAGCCTGCCAAAGCTCCCCACCCCACTTCTGCTCTTTCTCTCTCTCCAAGTGGAAAAGAAATAATACTCAAAAGTACTGCAATAAGAAACTATCAAGACATGCTACCAAATCGGGGATCGCTACAGTCATCAACAAAGTGGTTTCAGTGCCAAAAAAAACAAAAAAAAATACTGCGAGGAAATCACCTCTCTGTTCGGACCTCTGATAGACAATTTTTTTGCTGATATTCTTTTACCTACGACATTCCTAAACAAAACTGTTTCTGTTTGCTGTCCTATTCATCCCATGTCTGAACAAATAGCTGAATATGTGCTTATATTTAAAGAGTTTATATTTTAGGTCTGCATGTTACTAATTAATAATCTATTTTTGCCACATGTTGAAGGATTGGTTCCTTATAATGAATTGCAGTGAAATGTGAGATTTATATATTTTAAACATTTTTAAGAGTTTAGACATCAAAGAAGTGGTGTATGGGCGCTGGTCTATTTTTGTGAAGGGGTTTAAAAATGAATTGGGTCAATCTTTACAGCTTTCAGAACCATGATCTTAAAGCTAAGAGAACAGGTGACTGCAACAAATCCTGAGTTCATAGTATCATAGAGCTGTACAGCGTGGAAACAGACCATTTGGTCCAACTTGTCCACACCGACCAGATACCCCAAATTAATCTAGTTCCATTTTCCAGCATTTGGTCCATATCCCTCTAAACCCTTCCTATTCATATGCCCATCCAGATGCCTTTTAAATGTTGTAATTGTACCAGCCTCCACCACTTCCTCTGGCAGCTCATTCCATACACGCACCACCCTCTGTGTGAAAAAGTTACCCCTTAGGTCCCTTTTAAATCTTTTCCCTCTCACCCTAACCCTACACCCTCTAGTACTGGACTCCCCGCAAGGGGGAAAAGTCCTTGTCTATTTACGCTATCCATGCTCCTCGTGATTTTATAAACCTTTATAAAGGTCACACCTCAGCCTCCAATGCTTCAGGGAAAATTGCTCCAGCCTATTCAGCCTCTCCCCATACCTCAATCCCTCCAACACCAGCAACTTCCTCATAAATCTATTTTGAACTCTTTCGAGTTTCACAAAAACCTTCCTGTACCAGGGAAACCAAAACTGAATGCAGTATTCCAAAAGGGGTCAAACTAATGTCTTGTACAGCCATAACATGACGTCCCAACTCCTATACTCAACGCACTGATCAATAAAGACAAGCATACCAAACACCCTCTTCACTATCCTGTCTGCCTGTGATGTCCACTTTCAAGGAACTATGAACTTGCAGCCCAAGGTCTCTATTCAGCAACACTCCCCAGGACTTTACCATCAAATATATAAGTCCTGCCCTGAATTGCCTTTCCAAAACACACCTCACATTTGTCTAAATTAAACACCATCTACCATTCCTCAGCCCATTGGCCCACCTGATCAAGGTCCTGTGGTACTCCGAGGTAACTTCTTTGCTGTCCACTATACCTCCAATTTTGATGTCATCTGCAACTGACTAACCATACCTCCTACATTGACATCCAAATCATTTATGTCAACGACAAAAAACTGTGGGACCCAGCACTGATCCTTGTGGCACACCGCTGGTCATAGCCTTCAGTCTGAAAAGCAACCCTCCACCACCACCCTCTGCCTCCTGCCTTCGAGCCAGTTCTGTATCCAAATGGTTCATTCTTCCTGTATTCCACGTGATCTAACCTTGCTAAACAGTCTACCATGAGGAACCTTGTCAAACACTTTACTGAAGTCCATATAGATCATGTCCACTGCTCTGCCTTCATCAATCCTCTTTGTTACTTCTTCAAAAAACTCAATCAACTTAGCGAGACATGATTTCCCATACACAAAACCATGTTGACTATTCCTAATCAGACCTTGCTTTCCAAGTACATATAAATCGTGTCCCTCAGGATCACCTCCAACAACTCGCCCACCACCAATGTCAGGCTCACTGGTATATAGTTCCCTGGCTTTTCCTTACCACCTTTCTTAAATAGTGACACCACATTAGCCAACCTCCAGTTTTCCGGCACCTCACCTGTGGCCATCAATGATACAAATATCTCAGCAAGGGGCCCAGCAATCACTTCTCTAGCTTCCCATAGAGTTCTTAGGTACACATGATGAGGTCCCAGGGATTTATCCACCTTTAAGCATTTTAAGACGTCAAGTACCACCTCCTCTGTAATATGGACATTTTTAAGATGTCGCTATTTATTTCCCCCAAGTTCTCTAGCTTCCAAACCCTACTCCACAGGAAACACTGATGCAAAGTGTTAATGGAAGTTTGTTTATATTGTGGGATTTACAACATTAAGCCAAAATCCTTCGCAGACATTCGGATCGGGAACACTTCTTCATTCAAGTCTAGTTCTAAAGTTTTGGGATTCAGTTTTGAAAATCCAACGCTGATTTCCAACCAAACACTCCTGGTCTGGAAGTTCTACTGAGTATCTTATGTCTATACTGCTCTGAACAAGCTCCTTTATCCAGGAGAGACTGTACTTGCTCTACTCCAGTCAGGTCTCCTTCAAACTGATAATAATATGAAGACTGTCATCTTTAGGCATCTGAAGACAGTGCTCAGATTGGATGTGATGTTGAATCTCTGCATCAATGTCAGCCTTAAATGAGAGGCAGCTTCTCCGGTAAGGGAGATGTTCCCAAATGTTGGGAGGATTTCTCCGCTGATCTTAATGGAGGGATGAACCAGAACTTGACCTGGGATGGGTTGGTGAAGGATCTGAATTTTCCTTGAGGCTCAGGCTGAAGCTAATTCTTCAGTCAGCTTGTACAAAGGTGTTAAGTGAGGCTTGAAGATTCTCTTCTGACGCAGCGGAGATAACATTGTCATCTGCAATCTGCAGTCTCACAAGTGAGGTATCCTCATATCCTTGTCCTGAGTGGGTTGCTCAGCCATTTCAGGGGCAGTTAAGGGTCAACCACATTGCTGCGGAATAACCAGTAGGCCAGATTGGGTAAGGACTACAAATCACTATTCCTAAAGGTCATTACTGAAGCAGATGGGTTTTTGCAACAATAAATTATAGCTTCATCATCACTGTGATTAAGAGTAGCTTTCAATTTCAAATTCACCGAAGTCGTCGATTTGTCCTATCTGCCGATGTAAATGGATCATTTCAAAAACTCCACGATCTGAATCCAGATCACCACCAAAAGCTGTTCAGCTCTTCCTCAGGCCATATGCTATCTGTGCACTGAGTCTCTGCAAAGCACATCCAATAGATTTAGAGGTTTATTGTTCAAAGACAAACAGACCAACACGGTCTTTGGTGGCTGGAAATAATATGGGGTTACCGACTTAAGATACAGATGAGAAGCAATTTCTTCTTTCACAGGGTCACTAATCTGTGGAATTCCCTGCCACAGAAAGCAGCTGAAGCTGGGTCATTGAATATATTTAGTACTGAGTCAGACAGATTTTTTTGATTTACAAAAGGATCAAACGAATTGGTGAGGGTCAATGGGTACAAGCAGAGCAAAGTTCTGTCCTGATCAGGTTAACCCTGACTTTATTGAATGGCAGAGCACAATTTAAGGGCT